TTGATGTCGTTCACACTATCCAATAAAGCATAGAACGTGTCGCGAGCGCTCTTACTCGAGAAAACGCCCTCATCATCTTGCAATACTAATAGGGGTCGCATAGTAGTTCTTGGTAGACTTATAGGCCCTTTCTTTTTTCCTCGCTTTTGACGTACTTTTGCAGCTGAACGGCGGATAGGAATTGGATCTCGGATATTGCCAAGAATTGCTTCTGCTTCAGAGATATTTATGCCCGTTTTGGAGTCACCTTTTGACGAAATGACAGGAGCAGATACTATGAGCGAGCTATACTGTGCATCTCTTACTTGCTTCATCGAACTGGGCGTGGTGCTAATTCCAGTGATCGTGTACCCAAAGATAGTGGGCGTGAGCATCAATCCAGATGGTAGTTTGATAGCTGCCGAATTGTGGTCGAGAATCCTGTGCAGCAGATCCTGTCCTATAAGTATATCAGGAGATACATTTGCTGGCAGAAGACTACGTTGCGCAATTGGGATTTTCTTCTTCGTTATGAAGCTTCTGTCTACCTCCGACAGTTTGGCAGTTCTCGTAGGTGCTATCAAGGTGTCCTCGGTTAAGACTGATACATGCTTCAGCTTCTTTGCGCTACGAAGGCTCTTCAATGTGATCCGGACTTCGTCAGGTTGGGAAGTTTCTTGTAGGTCTCTCATTCCAACAGCAGTGAATGATGTAGTACTAAGCGATGGGAGCTTAACTGATGTTCCAAATGATGATTTGATGAAGCTACGTTGAGCTCTCGGATCTATTAGAAGAGTTACAGTTCGATAATCCATCTGGTATTCATCGAAGATTTGAGCTGAAGCTATTTGTGGCACATGTTGTCCACTAGCTGGTTGGTATCGCTCAGTTTTTATATTCCTCTGAGAAGCAGTGGTTGGAAAGGCTCGTTCTAGGCCGCTTTCCTGTTGCTGGTTGTGCGATCTTGGTGGATGTTTCGAGCTGCTGTGATTTGCTAAAGTTGTGCTTATTAAAGCTGTTTGAGAACTTGCAATTGAAGATGGATATTGAGTACAACTCAGTGTGTTTGCTGGTTGCGATCTGCTTCCATTAGAGGTGCAGAGTGATGAATGGTGATCTTCGTTGCAATTTGGACATTTCCTGACGACAAGACATTGTCTTGAGTTGTGCCCTTTGTTGAAGCATCTCCAACATATTTGTCGTCTGGCTTCTGCTCGCCGCTCCCCGTGCAGAGTGAAGAATGGTGGTCTTCATTGCATTTGGGGCACTTGCTTACAGTGGGGCACAGTCTAGAATTGTGTCCCTTGCCGAAGCACCTCCAGCATACTCTTTGCCTTCTGGCTTCTGCTCGCCGCTCCTCTGGTGAGCTGAATTTGCTGCACTGCTGTGGAAGATGTGTTTCTCCACAAAGACATGTTGGTTTATTCCTGTGGATCGAGGGTACTCTGCTACTGATGAATCGGTCCTGATGGACTCTGAAGTTGCTTTGTTTGGTTTGCTCGGCACCAAATAATGTTTTTGTCGTGAGTTCCGTTGTTTCCTTCAAGGTGATTATTTCATCGATGGAGTCCATGATTTCGTTC